CATGTCTTCCGATTATTGGTTTAGTGGGTATTTTGAAAAAAGTTGATATTGATGTCGAAAAACGGGTAAATTTGGCAATATCAAAACTTTTATAAGAAAAAGTTATTCAGAATCCAAAAACAACTCCACATGCCGATTTTGAAGCAAATCAGAGAAAAAAAAGTAAAACTACTCATTTTACCCATACCAATAAATGGAAAATCAAAAAAAATATTTTTTTTTTCCAAAAATAGCTTTATTCAACTAAACTACATAAGTTTGATATCAAACGAATCGATTGTTTTGCGAAATACACACTTGAAGGTCATAAATTAGAAAATACCCTCCGGTCGTGTCAATTTAACTGGACCCATGTCCCTTTTTGCACATTTTCTGGTCCTCAAAAAAATAACATGACATGTGTCATAATCGATTTTTTGGTTATCGAACACTCCCTAACGATCCCCGAAAAAAGTTTTATGAAAAAAGGAATAATTAAGAATTTTCCCATATGTACCCAACTTTATGGCGCACACTGTATATGATTTTTTTATACATATATTGTTAGGACCCTCGTGAGTAACTTATACTCAAGTTTGCAACCCTGAGACATCGGAATTTGGGAAAATGATAAAAATACTTCAGATGGAATATATAGGTCAAAAGAACGTAGGTACACGTGAAATAAACTGCATAAACATACATGTAAACTATAAAATACTATTCAGACAGTCAAGCACAAACACTATAGTAGTCTAGAATCTCGCCCTTTTGGAAGGGTCGGGTCCCATCCAGTCAGGATCAGTGGCAGGGAAAGGCTGTAAATTGTAAAGGGGTGATATTTTCCGAAGGTGGAGACAAGTCATCATCATATGTTGTTGGATCGTCCACTTCCTCATCCTCTTCGTACAGGACGATAGAGGTGACGTTATTACAACTTCGCCCTTGGTAAGAGGAGCATAGAATGCTGCTTATGCCGTGCCTTTCTGCAACTGCACCATCCTAAGCAACTTTTCTTGCATTTGCAAGCCACTATTCTAAGAAGGGATTGAGAAGCGGCCTCTGCGTACATTGTGACAGGCATGAAACCTTGTCCGCTGGTGACCATCCCCAATCACACGGGTTTTTGTCTACCCTCCTCCCCAACCCTTTTTTTTACCTGGTGGTAGGTCCTTCAAAAATGATATTTTACAGCCTCTGTGGTGGGAGGGAGGCGGGCAAGGTTGACTTTGGCCGTTGCTGCCCATTTTACAAATACTGAGTATCGCAGGGAGTTCAGCCTTCCCTCATTTCCTCCACATAAATTCATCAAGATCCTCTCGCCAGCATTTCCTACTTGATCCTGGTTAGCGTTTGGATCAGGAAAAATTTCCGCGAGGTCTATCTAGTGTGGTTTTTTTTTTTAAGGACGTTGCACCACTTGCAAGAAAACGATAGCGGCGGTGTCACATCCGCTAATAGCATGCAGGAATAAATCCATCTCTCTTGGAGACTGTATTTCTCCACATGTAAAGGAATTTGCTGAATATTGGGCGCACACTGACCCACGACCCACGTCTGCCGCCTTTATAAAAGTAAACGTTTGTCTGTCCAGAGTTCAAGCCGTTTAGGAGGATCAGTAGGTCGACATCTTCTCAATTATGAAAACTTGGTCGAACGATGCGCTTTTGGAAAGGGCAGTCATCACTATATCAGCATCGGCGTCTTCTTCAGATTGATGTACCTCGATACCATGCCTCTCAAATTCCGTACGCATCATGATGATTAGTCGGCGTTTTTTTGGATTCGTTTGAGAGCAGTTTTTCTTGGTGTTGATTCATCTAACAAAATGTCACTGCAAGAGAGAGAAGCAGAGCGCCGCAAGCGTTCGGCTGATTTGGTGCTCCTCATAGACGCATCTTGTGGGTATCCATCAAAAACCACAGCTACGTTCTTACCAAAGTGGTTAATAACGTAGCTGACATATCCTGCCACAATGGCTCTAACTAAATCACTTCGATGCCAGATCACCTTGTGCAGCAGGTAACCACCATCGACCACTGTGAATGTTTTGCTACCAAGGATTATATTTTCAGTGAGCGGTATAAATGCTGAATAGAAGGAAGATTTCGTGCCCTTACGCATTTCTTCTTCAGTGAACAAGAACAACGGATAAGGTGCTAGTTCATACGCAAAATGCTGCTTCAGTTGTTCATCTGACTGTTTTGTGACGCAGAGCCTCTGGAATATGGTAAGGGGATCAACATCAATCTCTTGTTGAATACTTTCACAGAGGTGGTGACTGCTGCCAAAGTCTTCACTTTGTCCTTCCGTTTGAAAGTCACTTTACCAAAGGTATTACCAACAATTTGTTTCACTCCTTCAGCTTCCAGTTCTTGAGTCAAGTGGCAGTGGATATCAGGGCCTCCAACGATTCCACTGTGGATGGAAAATAGGCGAACAGTAACTGGGAACGGAGCGTAGGTGCTGAACCAGATCTTCAATTTTCCGGCGTCTGCAGCATCCCCATTGTGTGGGATGCTCTCAGTCCCAATGAAACGCTGCACCTCCTCGCAAAGGTTTAAAATGGAAACCATTCCTATTGACCAGCGAGCAAGCACACTATTTGATATTCCCCGACCGTGCGTCAGGCCACCCTGGCTTTTCATGGACCTCATCAACACTTTTTCTATTATTAAATCTGTCCACAAACCAGACCAGAACCTATCGGAGCGACGTATTGTGAAGGCTCCCCCTGTGAAAATGCGATACTCGTCTGCCTTCATATGCTTTTCCAGGCGAAGCATGTTTTGAAGGTAGAGTTTAGCATAAAAGAAATGTCCTGCTGAATGAAAGAATGGGAGTATCTTGCTTACACACTCGAGGTGAAGCTGCCAGTCACCCATTCGTTCCGCCTGGATAAATAGCTTCATCAGAGCAGCCATTTGATAATATTGGCACTAGAGCTTGGACGTGGGACCATTGTGTTCAATTTTTTCGAATGCAGATTTGTACTTGGTACTCACTTGTTGAAAAACCTCATACTAGATTGGTCAGTATGGTGTGCCCTCATGGCCATTTTATCGACGCTGTTTGCGGCGTAAATTATTGAAAACAAATCCTTTAGACCATTACCAGCCATGACTCCACCAATAAACCCAAGAAAGGAAAAGGAGGTGGAACCAACCAAGTCTCACCACTACATTCTGCAATTCAGGGTGCTGGCCACTAGCAACAATATCTCGAGCTTTCCAGAAGAGTGGTTGATCAAAGGTTACGAAGCAAGTGTGTTGAAAATAAACTGCTATTCTCTTGCTGGTCTCTATAAGCGGTGTCAAAATAGTGTGGTAATCTGTTGGTGGAGCTCGAATGAACAGTAGATACATAACTTTTGTAACCTCGAAATTTACATCAGATGTTTGCAGCCGGAACTGCACAGAGATTCACCAAGTGTTTCGAGCCAAATTTTCGGTAAAGATAATATGTGTCAACGCTTGTCATGATTGAAGAAATGAAAGATTTTGGCCTAACTGCCGACATAAGTGCATGACACAAGGTCAGGCATTTTTTTCTCCACCCCCCCAGGTTGGAGCGTTTATGTTTTAGTAAGTATTATGGTTTCAAAAAACCTTTGTACCATTTCAGGAATATTTGGTGATTCGATATCTTGCAAGAAAGAGTCAGATGGAGGGTACTGAGAGGTGTCAAAAGCTCCTGCTCGAATATCTTCCAAACAGATTAGTGCCGCAGCTTCCACTACTCGCAACCTCTCCTCCCTCATGTCGTTTTTTTTTTTCCTCGTACCAGTTTTGGTATAGAATCGCTTGTCCGACGTCTTTTAAAGCACACCCTGTCATACGACCTCAGCTAACTTCTGTTATTGAAATTTTGTCGCCAAAATGTTTAATGAGGTGAGCTTTGACTATTCTAACGTCTGGAACGTAGTCACCTGTAATCTGCTCCATTCTCCTGAAGCGAGGCCTGGCACTCCTCTCATTTTTTTTTGTAGGTACGAAAAAATAATTTCCATAGCTTGTTGCGGATTACTTGCTTCTGGGCGTATCAATGGCCTCTTATCCAAAGATCTCGGTAATGAGTACAAATTCTGGTGGCAACGGTGGTGATACCCAGCATCAGCAGCTACTAGCTCAGTCCCCTCACGATTAAGGCGATCTATAATCTGCTGATCTCACACATCACCTCGACGTACAGCTGCTTCAATAACTGTTGCCTTCATGGCCGGTTTTTAAACTTTATGAACTGGGTTCTTACGACTTGCTGGTAGTTTTAACTAGCTTGTGAAATTCTTCTGTGATCTCTTCTCTACATAAGAAACAGATCTTTCCCAGATTTGTATGTGTGACGTAATGCTGTTGTTGCTGACGTGATAATGACCTAGGTGACGGCCTTTTGGGTGGAACTGGATCCCCTCTCCGACAAACAGATGCAGCAACATTCTTTTCAGCTATATACCTAGAATTGAAAAAAAAAAGTTTTTTTTTCCAAGTTTATAGTCCGGGGGCCGAGGACCTTTTTTCCAAATCATTAATAACAAGCTAGTTTTTTCAATGCAGCTTCATTTCACCTAGACGCCCAACTTTTTTCTCTTCGAAAATTGCGAAAACAGGTAGCTAACATACTGCGCAGGTGTAAAACATGTCGATTTGGTGACTATGAAAATTTAATTAATAACAGTTAGTTTTTCAGCTAAATGTTGAGATAATTTTATGAATAATTTGAAACAACATTTGTCCGACAAAATAAAGGGTTTGGTCTACGATGTCCCCCCGTCAAACATGTAGCTATTACGTTGCATAAAAAATGATTAATAACAAGTTGATTTTTTCAATGTAGGTTTTTTACTTCTATCTTATTAGTCTCCTCAGAATTTCGCTCTGTGTTAATTATTTGAGCCACGAACTGTTTCTTGGTTTGTTTCTCTGAAACCAATTCAGTCAAAACGAATTCATCAACTCTCAGATCTTGCATATTTGTTTTTTCTGCCTTGAATCTTGAAAGCTTTGGATAATACTCCATACTACTTTGGGAATTGCTTGATTCAGCATATTCGATGTCAGTGGAACTTTCTGATGAAGAATCATTTTCTATCTCTCTCTTCTGCGGGAGTTTTCTGGGTGCTAATGTCATACTTTCTACAATTTGCTTTTTAACTGTCTTCGCTTTTGCTGGTCGACTTACTTTTGCAGTCTTTAGTTCTTGGTAATCCGGAGTTGATGTCAGTACCATAGTTTTCCCTTTTTTCACTGATCTTTTATTTTGGCGTGGCCCAGCCTTCGGAAAAGGAAGAATGTCTTCGGGAGAAAAATATATTTTTTTCGGGTCTTGTCTGTCCGTGGTGATATTTTTCACTGGCTCAACTGGGGTTGAAGGTGGGGTTATTCTAGTGCTTGGACCGGGTTGGGGTGAAGCAGTCCTATCAGGTGTAGTTTCGGCTTGAACATTCTCGACTTGGTCTGGCATCTCATGGACCTGAAGATTAATTTCTTCATTTTGAGGTTGCATTGCTTCCTCATGTTGTTGCAGGACTTGATTTTCAGCTTCATTATTTACATTCTGGGGCGCAGGTCGATTTGTGGTTTCTGAGGGTTTGAATAAATATTCTGGGAATATATCTGGGTTATATGGGCGGATTGTAGTTGTAGCCTTCTGAAATGCTTTGCCAAAAAGTTCTCCAACTTCGTAAATAGTTACGAGTTTTCCTGGATTATTTACCAGCCACTTTTTTACCTCCTGTTCATAATGAGTCATGAAGAGGCGCATAAAAGATACGTCAAGGGGCTGCAACCTATGGGATGTATGTGGAGGTATAACTAGAACATGCACATTGTTAGCTGTTGCAATTTCCACTAATTCCAGATTTTTGGTATGGGTTGCATGTCCATCCAAAATTAATAGAATCGGCTCTTCTTTGGTAGGTTTCGTATATTTAAGGAAATGTTTAAACCAGACATCCGAAAATATTTCTGATTGCATCCATTCTGATTGCTGGTAAGCAGCTATGGATTCTGGAGGTAACTCCTTTTCTAGGAGTGGAGATTTGCGCACTCTTGGATAAATTACTAGAGAGGGCACATAAAAACCTGCAGCATTAAAACAAACCTCTAGTGTTGAAAGTGTGCCTCGCTCTGCCGACGACAAACATCCGACTTGCTTTTTGCCTCTTAAGGAAAATATTTTTGATGTTATATTTGGTACTGTCAACAGTCTTGCTTCATCACAATTGAATATGCGGCTTGGTGAGGAATTATACTTCTCCAACATTTGTCCCAGAAGTGTAAAAAACTTTGCAACGTTCTCTTTGTTGAAAGCTGTCGCTCTTGCTTGCGAAGTAGGTTCGGGAAGTCTCAAGGAAATATTTTTTTGTCTTTTTAAAAATCCATACACCCAATCTCGCCCAGCTAAACCTTTTTCCTGGTTAAAGGTATGAGAAATATTGTTTCTTTCCGCAAACTGGAAGTCGGTGGTTCCACGACCAAAAAGACGACTCTCCATGTCTAAGATATGATTTGCTAATTCCGTTTCTTGTTCCGGAGTAAAAGTTGTGGTAAATCGTCCTAACTTTTTTTCAGCTGCATCCCTGGACTCCATGTCTGTTTTCATTAAGCGGCGCTTCAAAGTTGTTCTGGGCACCTGGTAGGTCAGAGCTGCTCTTTTGATAGGCATTAAGTTATTTCTCACATCTTCTATAGCTCTTGCCATAGCATCTTCGCTCCATGATTGTTGATTTGTTTTTCGCTTATAGTTCCGTACCATTTTGAACCTAAAACAACAAAATACATTGGTATATATATTTTAAGTCATAGTTATCATCATGAAACTACCTAGATTCTAATCCATAGTAAGACTAATTTTAAAATAACCATAGGGGCAAAGCGGACACTGTCCACTTTACCCCACAGGGAAAGGACCACTTTGCCCCGAATAGTAATTTTATGAAAAAACACCAAACTAAAAAAAAATTAAAGTTATAAAGCACTAAACTGGTACTTATCACTTTCAACAACAAATTGAACTAATAACACGCACTGGAAAAAACTAAGAAATTCAAAAACTTACGCTTTTACATCACAGAGCGTCTACAAGTTTGGCTTTCAAGGACGCACAGGGTTTTGCCTCGGCGGCTGCCGGAAACACACGAACAAACAAGTTTTGACAAATGCTTCAACACGTGGTTGCTTTGATTCGATCGCCGCGCCTATTTTAGGCATGGTAGGATAAATCCGCTTTGCCCCGAGTGTCCGCTTTGCCCCACATTCCCTACAGCAAAAAAGCGCGCCAGATTTAATACATTAAAAAAGGAGCTCTATTTTTTTTAAATATCTTTAGAATTAAGATGAACCGGTTGGATCAAACCTTCTCCATCTGGGTATGGAAAATGACAAAGGGCATGGCCCCCTCTACTTTGATGGCATGCCAAAACTCTTTTTCGAGCAATTCAAATCTGGCGCGCTTTTTGAATCACCCTATACTACGATACTGTGTTATTTACGAGCATGCGCGTCGATGCGAATGGAAACCATCGACATAAATGTAGGTATGTGTACATACACATAACACATATACTGTTATACACGCATCTGTATACGTACATATGTACATACAGGGGCTTTCATTTCGAAATTTGCCACCCACGTTATCTGCCTAAAGAGACAGATTTCTGGAAATCGCCGGAACACGTCAACAAATTAACGCACCCCCTCAATAAATTTGTTGACAAGTTTCGGCGATTTCTAGAAATCTGTCTATTTACGCAGATAACGTGAGTGGCAAGTTTTGAAATGAAAGCCCTGTACATATTTACGTATAATATGCATAAGGCTATTTTCGAAATTCTCGAATGTAGGGCTGAGAAATCTTACCTCTTTAGGACAATGTGACCATTCAATTGTAGTTATATTTACCAAACTACAGTAAAAAAATCAACTGGTTATAAATCGTTTTTTATGAGCCAGTAATTGCTTCATTTTTAAGAAAGGGGACACTGCTGACCAAACCATTTATTTTGTGGCTCAAATCGAATTTCCAATTATTTATGAAATTATCTCATTATTCACCTGAAAAATTAACTGTTAACTGTTAATAATTACATTTGCACCTAATCAAGGTATTTTACATGTGCTCACTAATGCTCACTCGAGTAGCTACTACTTTTGCAACTTTTCGCAATAGAAAAGTTAGGCGTATTATCAATACGAAGATGCTCGAGAAGATTTAGCCGGTGATTAATGAAAAAAGTTAAATCGTGAAATCGACAACTTTTGAGTGTAGGACTGAAAATAGCTACCTGTTTATTTGTAGGACAGTGTGACCATTTAATTGTAATAATATTTACCAACCTACATTGAAAAAATCAACTTGTTAATAATCATTTTTTATGCAACGTAATTGCTACATGTTTGAGGGGGGGACATCGTAGACCAAACCCTTTATCATGTCGGACAAATGTTGTTTCAAATTATTCATAAAATTATCTCAACATTTAGCTGAAAAACTAACTGTTATTAATTAAATTTACATAGTCACCAAATCGACATGTTTTACACCTGCGCAGTATGTTAGCTACCTGTTATCGCAATTTTCGAAGAGAAAAAAGTTGGGCGTCCCGGTGAAATGAAGCTGCATTCAAAAAACTAGCTTGTTATTAATGATTTGGAAAAAAGGTCCTCGGCCCCCGGACTATTATGTAAATCCTTAAAGACATGAAAAAAACTGTTTTTTGTGCAAGTGTCATTGTTGCACAAAAAATAATGTGTATACCATGACCACGAAACTTTTTAGCATCCTCGAGATTATCTTACCTCTACGTACGCTAAAAAGGCATTTCGCGGCCTTCTTTGGTTTACAAATAACTATCATCTCTAGTAGGTTACCAAACAAAACATCCATTTATTCAACGCATTGAGGTAAACGGTGACAAGTTTTTTTCCATGTTTTCTTTTTTTTTTTTTTTATTTACAAAACCTTTTTTTTTTTAGTTGCATCACTATATATACATCTTTATGCATGTATCATGTACGGAAACTTGATTCCTCCTCGAGAGATAATCTTTGTTTTCTCGAAGACCACGTTTTTCACTTGCTTCAATAAGGGTGATAATCCCTTTTTGTTTTACAACCAGCACTTTGTCTTCCAGTAGGCTTAAGCGACTATAAAACAATCACCAGGTGAAGCCGACATCTCGTACGTAGTTTATTCGCTATCAAACTCATAAATTCTTAGCTTTTATTCTACTGAGGTTCGCGCAAACTATTTCAACAGAACAGCCACATACCACAGAACAACTGCGGAGTAGCACTAACAGCAGCACTAGAGTAGGTACAAAGCAAAACGAACAGCGAAACGAACTAGACAAGTTCACAGTGAATCTAATAGCGAATTCCATTGGTAGAACCAGTGCAGAAAAAATGTATTTTTATCTCTTTCTTATACAAGCTGGTAGAAAAAGATATGAATACACTCAGTGTGCACTAACTCTTCCAATGGAATTCGCTATAAAATCGGCTGGGTTCGATAATTGCATCTGCGAGCAAATTTTGATGGAAGTCACGTGATCACTTATCTTTTTTCACATGTCAAATCACGTGACATCTGTACAATTTTGCTCGCAGATGAAATTACCGAATCCAGCCACTGGCTACAATTGCCGTCTTATTTCTGATTGGTTATTCAAAATCCTATATGTTCATAATCAAAACGCCGTCATTTCGAGGCTCACCCCTTGCTAATTTTAAATATGAATATATAATATTTAAATGGATATCCATCATAAAAAATTGAGAACAACATATTTGATGTACCTAACTTAATAATAGTCATCAAATATGTTGTGTTCCTATTTGCGCACCACGGGAATAGCACAGCGTTTTTAAGGTTGCAAACTTGGATATAAACTACTCTCAGGGATCCTACCAATATAATATAAAAAAATCGTAGATACATGCGCATTTGCGATGTTTACCTTTTTTTGTGTCGATATTGACTGGCCTATTGTTTTTTCGCCATCATTCGAAAACCGCTAAACCAAATGTTTTCAGAATTGAAGATTAAATTAAGAATAAAGAGATCTTTGAAACGATATATCACTCGACATCGCCTTCTATTTGAAAAAACGGTTCCAAACTGCAACCAGCTGTCATTTGTTTTTTAAAAAATGGAGAATTTACTCACATAACATTCCAAATTTCGTTGCAATATACCGAGCGGTTTGAAAGTTAGAGGGAGGGCGACGGACTTTATGTCCTCACTGTATAGAATCCGGTTTCAAATCTCAGAATAATTTAGTGTATGGAGTCTGAGGGGTCCCGAATGATCATTTAGACACAAAAATCTTCAACGACTCTTATCCCAATAGAGGACTATAATCCTTGAAAATTTCAGCTCATTTGGATTTATAGTTCCAGAAATAAAATCGTGTTAGAAAAGGAAAGTGGTGCTTTATCCTTCCAAATTGTGAAAAAATGAAGGGACGAACTTTACTACATTGAAAATTTGAATAACACTTT